TTGATACAAATAACCTGAAATAAATCGCTGTAGTGGAATTCTTTCAACGAGACCTATTGTCGAATAAATGCCCAATTTCATCTCGAACAACTGAGTGCGCGTGACAAGGGGTCTGTTGTTTATGTTGCGTGTTACAGAGAATAAAAGTACGGGAAAAATAGTGAATTGTTGCTCTATTAGGCCTCGTGCCCCCAGGCATTTTTTTATGTGTAAGGTTGACAAGCGAGCAGGCGTTTCACCTGATGTTAAGTGACTACCGCCGCCCATGAACACATATAACACCCGGTGTGTTGCATATGTGTTGCCATCCTATTTAAAAGTGGGCCCTGGTTACTTCACCCACCAGATGAAACGCGAAAGTTACTGCCACTTCACACCGGTCTTCTGAGCGGTCGTGGTACTTATCTAGAATTGCCTGCCCATTCGTGCAACGGCAGAGGATTCTGCGTGAAAGGGCCATAAATAAGAGAGGGAACGAGCGTCATTTAGAGCGTAAATAAAATTGAAGGCTTACGGTACGTTGGAAACTCGATATTAGTGTTAGTTCCTGGCGGTTACACAGTCGACAGCCGTCAAAGTGGAGTTACGGATAATTTGATACGACCAAACTGAAGCTGACGCTGAAATTGAATCACGATTAGAGACGTGCGCGCGATTTATATTATGTACAATCTCGTAATATCTGCTTCATTCGCTACCGTTTTAGCTGGCTCGGTACCGTTGAGGTTCTATGAAGTGCCTATAACGCTTAAAATTCTAAACATTCGTAAAAAAAACAATTACTAACTCAAACTATTTTTGACGGATTTATTACCTTTATTTTAACAGCGTTCATGATCACGGGACAGATAGAGACGGTGGGCGTCATCATTGGTAACCCGGGCGCTGCCAGTTTAATTAAATTTAGTGTCCGACTTTTTCAGAAGGTACTAATTCCAACGTTTGGATCTAGATTTGATGTACGTAGGAACCCCCTGTACGTAGGAAGCCTTCGTCCAGCTGTGGGACCTAGGGTGTTTCTGTACTTTTTACTTTACTAGGATCCTAAGCTGATTCCTTCTTCTATATTGAAATTAGGGTGCTTTTTTAAATTTCAATAGCCTCGCGAATCATCCTCGGGATGGTTCGGTATTATACCTGTCGCAAAGAGTACTTTTGTATATCTGATCTGTCGTTTATCAAACATTTATTATGGGGTGATTCAAGGTGTGCTCATAGATTCGAAACGTCGGGAATTAAAATAGAAAATAAACGCGATGAATGCGTTATAAGTAGTTTCATTTAGTAATGTGTAGTCGCGTAAATAAAAGACAATTAATATTAGTATTATTGGTTTTTAGTTTAGTATTCAAACTGATAAAGCTAAAGGCTGCGAAGAAGGCTAAAATGTTTCATGTTTCATAGAAGTTACATACACATAGAGCTGCAACGAAAAGTGTACTGGTCCACACGCCGAATATTCTGAGCGTGGCCGATAATAAAAATGTTAGACAAAAGTAAATGGCCAAGGCCGAATTATGAATAGGATTATTTTTCGATCGTTTGTTCGAATGTACTCATCTCCCTCCCGTGCCGTGTAACCTCGCGCACACAATTGTTACCACATTGCTAGTTTTAACAAGTTTCGTTTGTAAATACGTTACCACGTTTAATAGCACTACTACGGATTTTTTTCATATTAATTGATTCGTCTTCAATAAAACTTCTGGATAGTCCTGGATACTTGGTATTCGTTAAATGGGTACGTTACGAATTCTTCATATTTTTTAAATCACCGAAAAAGCGTGCCAGTTAAAACTAATGTTATACCAGATTATTAACTTACAAAGACGTGCACGAATTAGTATTAAGCACTAATTAGTGAACGTCTTTGTACGTTAATAATAGTAAAGTCGGCATTATGCTTATTAGAATAATAAGGAATTTTCTAGTTTTAGAACGAAGGCAAAACAGAAATCAATACTTATATTATTGAGATTTCAATGAAGTGAAGAATGAATCAGTAATATATTCTTACACTAGCTGTTAAACGCGGCTTCGCCAGCGTGGTCAAAGGGAATTGAGAACACTGAGTTTTTATTATACACCAGAATATCTCTCAGATGGCAGATTTTTTTTCTACTTATTTGACACTTATTTATATATTTTCGATAATTCACATGATATCTTTATTAATTGTGGGCTATGTGTTATTTTGATGTATTAACTATACAGTTGTAAAGTTTCATTAAAATTCATTCAGTAGTTTTTGTGTGAAAGAGTATCAAACATCCATCCATACATACAAACTTTCGCCTTTATAATATTAAGTAAGGAAGTAAGGATAAGGATTTCGAAATTTAATAAATAAATAAATATTTTCGGACACATTTTTACACAATTGTAGTCACAAACTAAGGAACGCTTGTACTATGGGTACTAGATAACTGATAAACATACTTAAACATACTTTTCTGTTGTAAATAAATACATATTATACAAACATATACACCCAGACAACACTATATTCATCACACAATATTTTTCCAGTACTCAGTGGGGATCGAACCCGCACCCTCTGACGCAGGAGGCAGGTACCCTCTACGCCATTCGGGTCGTAAATTCATCGTCATAAATCCTTAAAAAAGTTTTACTAAGTGTGTATACTATACACTTATTTCATAACAAGATCAGATCAAAATACATTCAACATTCGAGTGTATACTTATATAATTATATCAAAAACGAATATGAACGAATTTTTCATTTATGAAAACACTAGTGATCCGCCCCGTCTTCGCACGGGTGCAATGTATTATACATACAGGGAGATTTTTTAAGAAGTGCCCAAATTTACACTGGAGGTTGAGACTCAGTAGTATAATCGTTTATTGAAATAAATAACAAAGTTTTTTTTCCAAAAAAATGCCATTCTCTTCCCTAAAAAACAGAACGTGGTGACAATGCGGCGGTCATTCATAAATACCTAAATATTACTGTGCACGAACTTGTGTGCGTGTTAGTTATGAACGATCGCGCGTAAAATAAATGAGTTGCGTATAAATCACGCATTTTTTGTATTATAATGTAATTAATTACTTATGAGTGATTTTAAATATTTATCATTTTTTATTTTATATAACATTATTTATATCTAGAATTTAATAAAAAAAATGGATACACTTAGAAAAGCCTCCCTGTATAAACCTTCCTCGGGAATCATTCTATCTAATAAAAATAAAACCGCATCTAAATCCATTGCGTGGTTTTAAAGATCTAAGCAGATCTAGGGACAGACTGACTGCGGGACGACTTTGTTTTATTATATGTAGTGATGACATTGCTCCACCATAAAGTAGCGTACGGTAGACAATCAGACGAAGTGGGGCGATTAACTTTCGTAATAAAACCCTAATCTAAGAGAACAATCCTACAAATGGAATTCAACAAAATGACGCCGCGCGGGTGTGCTTAAGTTGTATATTTACGATTGTTTATTCTGTAGGGTACGCACAATTAGTACGGATTTGTATTCGAAGACAACGAAGTCTTTGAGGTTACGCTCTAGACAAAATTAAAAGATTACAATACTGACGATAACATTCTCATAAACCATCATAAACCTTTGTTCTCCGGCCATAAGTATAGTTACTGATTATTATGTTACTTAATATCATGTTTTGTCATAATTAACGGTATTAATAATTAAATTCTTCAAGAACTAAAGAACATATATTTTGTTTTAAATGTATTCATTTGGAAATTTTGAAAGTCAGAGAGTTAAGAATGGTCGAAGTTGAACATATATAAGAAACACGTTCTTACTTGTGATATGTTCTGTTTCTGTTATAATCTGCTGATGAAACTTCTAAATATAGCAAAGGTCTCTTGTTTCAAGATTTAGTTGAAACTAAAGTTGTTAAAATGACGTCGATTTTTAAAATATCGATAATTGAAATCATTCGGTCGCCTAAAAGTGAGTAAAAATGTATAATAATTTGGGTGAAAGTTTATATAGCTCTTAAATTGTTAAAATTTCTCTTAGACGTGGCAGCTGACGTTGATGACTTACCTTGGAAAACTTTGTTATAACTTCCATGAAAGTTGCACGAGGCGATACTTAAACTTTGTAAATAATTTTGCCGATAAGAGAGGTTGGTAGTTTTGTAACTATATTTACAAGCTTCATCTGAAGACACAAATTTTAATTTATAGGTGGAATTAATATATTATTTATGTTTATCTAACTTTGAGATATAAAATTTTATTATATTGTTTTTTGTATTTGAGATTTAGTCATATTTCCTAATCAAGATATTATGTTTTATGCCAAAACTGTACAAATCTTACATGATTCAAAGTTTTATATTTAGTATTTTTATTGGATGCTACTGATACTAGGTGGTTGTTAGGTTTTAGGCACTGCAAAGAGTTATTTTGAATTGTTCAAATACGTAAGTAGACAATTATGTATTTTTTCGTTTTAAAGAGTTAACTCTAATTTGTATATTAGATTTCTTCGTATATTTTACTGTTTATAGTATTAGAAAAATTAAACGATGATATTTCACACATCGTCGATAAAGTACAAGAGACACTACACACACAAATTACATACAACTTAATTGCATTATGCTAATTTACGCAGCATGACCTCGAAAGCTGGTTGTTATCAACGGCCTTTTGAAACAACGTCAAAAAATGAAGAGATTCTCAATTTTGTTCTATTTTTGTATATTTCTTACCTCAGAACTCAGTCATTTAAGATACGATATTAAAAATTATTTTTGCATAGGGTTCGGTTTAGCTCCTACGTGGTTTCATATCGATATCATTATCAGTATTGCTTGTACTCCGCAGATGCATCAGGGAACTCCTAAAAATCAAAATGCTAAAAAAAATGCAAAAATAAATAAAACCGACTTCAAATGCATTTGCATTTGAAGTCGGTTTTTTAAAGTCAATGATTGTGCCATGGCCGATGTTGATGACGTCATGATTAATATGAGCGTTGATTCCAGCACTGCCCGGAGGCGGCGCTTGTGTCGGCCCGTGTTCTCGCCGCCGAGGGCGCTCCGGCCACGCGCTCAGCGTCCGGTGTGGAGCGCCGCCCTTCAGCGCCCCGCCCGCCCCTCAACAAGCGGGGCTCTGGATCCCTGCTCTCGCAGCCGCCGTCACAGTCTAGGTGAGCATGGCACGTTTTGAGTACGCACGGCGAAATACCACCAAGCACTTGTTTTAACATAAGATGTAAAGTGACAGCATATATATGCCCCGCTACTGGGAGCGGGACATATATAGACTGTCACTTTGAGACCTCTGTAAAGAGGGGAAAGTGTTTTCTTTCGCCGCTGGGCATGTGCTAAGTCAATACTTGAAATTGCAACGAATAATTTCATCGGTACCCGACACTGGGAATAGAGGTTGCTAATAAAAAGTGCCGGAGTGCGAATGCCCGACACTAACCTATTGATGATCTTGGTACATTTTAAGTGCGCACGGAGAAATAGAACCGGGTACACTAAAACTGTATGTGATATTCTTGTATCCAAGTATGTAAGTAAAGGCCCATTTACACGGTGCAAGTTTCTCGCCTGTAGTATACAATTGAATTGAAGCAATAAATGAGTTGCATGGTCTAAACAGCACATAACATTCTTGCCTGTTGAACAAGACTTGCTTCAAGTTTTGTTTCAAAACTTTCCTTGGTGTAAACAGCACACACAATAATTTCTTAAGCAATTCTTGTATTCAATTGCATTCTCTCTTCCTTGGCAAAAATTTGTGCAATGAGTGAGGGTATTTAATCTATAATATATATATATAAATGGATCATAATAAATAAATCTCAATGAAATATATTTAATCGGCATAATCTAACTTGAACACTTATTATTGAGCCATTTTTTTAAAAAAACAGCCCTTTGTAAAACGTTCAACAATTGCATGAAAAATTTGTCAACGCAAAACGTGCAATACTTGAAGCAACATGCCAATAAATTGTACACGCACTATACAAGCATGATAGACAAGTCAAAACTTGAAAGCAATAATCGCCTAAACATTTTGCATTGGTGTAAACTATAGACCTTTGCAATTATTTCCTGTCAAGACTTGCATACAATAATCGCATTCAATTTTTTTTTACTATATCTGCGTGTAAACTGTTGCTTACAATTCTTGATGGTCAATTATTGCGTGCAACTTATTGCATTCAATTATTGCTCTTGTATGTTCAAGAAAATGGCATCGTGTAAATGGGCCTTAATGCCAAATAGTATCGTGGTATGCTGATACAGTTTCGATTTATTTGGTGGAGTCTGTTTTATTTATGGCTCAATGTCTTCGTAGTCATCCCTGTCTAGGTAAGATTGGTACATCATAGGTGCACAGTCGAGTACAGAAAATCATGGTTGGTGATCGATCATGCCGAAATAATATGCGTGCGTTAAGTACACCTGCGTCCAGGTCGGTTTTTATCACTTTTAATTACTGGTACAGTAGTTTACAACAGAGCTTAATTAATAAAAATGTTATAAATAGATTAAAAATACTTAAATGAATCCTTAAAAATTGCCATCGAGACATATTTTGTTATAATCTATTTATTATCTGTGAATCTGTTGGTAGTATAGAGGCATCCTTTTAATATTGTAACTTCGTTAGTGTATTCAAGCGGCATTCGCAGTGGAAAAGTTATTGAGGAAATTGAATTGTTGACCACCCGCTTCGGACTTGGAAAATTCATTTAGACGACATGTTTTATCGCATAGCCGGTGACGCGTACGCTAATTTTGTTTTATTTCGTACATTTCATTTTTTTATATTTACGTGTTAAACTTTTTTATGGTCTATTAATTTTTGTGAATTTAAATTGAATCTGCATTTATTTGTTTGACTTATTATTATATTTATTATCCTTAGCAAGGTTTCCCGTACATGTTTCACTGCGTTTTATATGAAGCAGTACTTTTATTTTAATGCTATACAATATTTAAATAGTTATATTTATAATAAAGTAGTTTATTTTATGACTATCGCTTCTTAACAAAAAGCAAATGGTGAAGATAAAGATCTACTATGAAGATTTATAGTATAACAAGTATTAAAAGGGCAGTGCACAAGCCGTGCTAACTTTGCTTGTACTCCATATCATTAATACACAAATAATCGTTCAAAGGGGTACAGAATATAATTCTATTTAAATTATCACACCAAACTTTATTATTCACTTATGAAGATAAATAAAGCTCTTAAGCAGTTTGTGTGAGTTTGGCACGGTAAATAAAGGGATTTAGGGTACTTTACAAGTTTATTAAATTAGGTACTGTTTGAAGACTTCAAACATTGTTTTATTTGGGAGTGGAGAGGATTGTGTAGTAAGCTTTTAGTTTCATGAAGGCGGTGCTTAAACATTAAATGAAATATGTAATCTGGTGTCTATATTGTTTTTATTGTATTTTATTTTATACAACAAGTAAAATATATCATTAAAGACAATATCTCATGTGATAGTGAAGTTCAAATACAATGAAAGATAAATCTATAACTATAACTAAAACTAAACGCCTAGAACAGCTGAACAGCTAAGTTCTGAAAGTGATTTAAATTTCCAGGATCGAGGTTCACTGCGTGGAACTCACATTTTAATGTGTCTCTAATTTAATAAAAGCGATAATTTACATTGTCTGTGCAAAGAAAATCAGCCGTGGAATATAATTTGATTCAAGAGAAGGAAAATCGGTAAACCGTTCATGGGGAAAATATTTGATTTTTGGCAAAACAAAACGCTATACACATTTCGTTTTGCCAAAAAGCAAATATTTAGAGGAACTGAGATTGGATGTTGGGTAAATATTACTTTACGTCGTAATATAGTCGCATGATATTAGAGCTGGTAAAACAAAAAATATACATGTTGATATATATACCTCATTATAATGTTATGATTGTTTTGATTTAATGAATACAATTGTGTCTTATTTCGGTTTTTGGAGAGAGTCTAACATTATTTTATTGTTGTTTGTCTTTATTTTGATAAATATAATAATTGTATAGTGTAAAATATGTAGTGTAAAATCAAAATCAAAATATATTTATTCAAATAGACGCTTGCGCGCACTTATGAATCGTCAAATTTTACATCAAAAATTATGTATATAGGTTCGTAAGGTACCACCCGTTCGGAAAGCAGTTTCTGTTGAGAAGAGACCGGCAAGAAACTCAACAGTTGCTCTTTTTCAAAAGTATCAAGTTACAATATAACATATAGGTCTTATTCTAGCCTACGTGAGTATCAACAGTATTAACTCCACACATTGGCGTCGTCGAGATATTCCGTAATGGTATAATATGCTTTAACCATAAGTTGACTTTTTGTTGAGTACTTTTTGTAGACGAAAGAATGGCGTAGTAAGTTTGTCCTTATTTCTAGTGTTTATTTTATGTCTGTCACTATTCTTTAGGTAATAATTAAGGTTATGACGTATATACAAAACATTACAATAAATGTATTGAGAAGCAACAGTGAGTATATTAACCTCTTTGAAAAGATCTCTGAGTGAATTCCGGGCTTCGATATTGTAGATTGCTCGGACAGCTCTTTTTTGAAGAATAAATATAGAATTTATATCTGATGCACTACCCCACAACAAAATGCCGTACGACAAGATGCTGTGAAAATAACAACAAATAAAAAATAAAGTAAAGAAGTCTGGCAGTGTCGATGTCTGTTAGCTGCCTAACCCTTCTAATCGCAAAAACCGCGGAGCTCAGCCTATTCGCAAGAGATGATATATGGGGACTCCACTGGAGCTTTGAATCGACTGTAATTCCCAGAAATACAACAGACTCAACTGTATTAATGGGTACGTTATTTAATATTAAAAACTTTTCCTTCTTATACTGGGAAGGGTAAAAAGAATACATCTGGTTTTTTTGGCATTTAATACCATATTATTAATAGTAAACCAGTGGACGATATGTGAAAGTGCACTATTCACGTCGTCATAATTTAATACGTTTCGGTCAGCTCTAAAAATAAGCGATGTATCGTCAGCAAACAGTACAACATCACACAACCCACTGGCATAAAAGGGGAGATCATTAATATATACTAAAAATAATAATGGGCCCAAGATTGATCCTTGTGGGACTCCCATTTTCATCTGGGACCCAGCGGAATTAACATCATTTATAAGACTTCCTTTATCCGATTTTGATTAGAGCTTATATTTTCTGACAAAATGTTGCTCGCCTTAAATGTTTATGCGACTGTAAAAAATATACATACATTTAAAATGTTTTTTTACATGAACTCCTCTAAGCGACATGATAATTTCGGAAAGATTGCGAAATTGACAAGATGACAAATTCTGTAATGCCTCCATATTTGCAAATCTAAACCGCCCGCGTCGAATTTAAACGGGAATGAAATTGTTGCTGGTGGGATCGTATTTAAAGAACGGGAGCGCATTTCATCTAATTCTTATGTATATAATTGAAAGTATAGTTGTATATAGTTAAATCTTTGTAAATACCTCACTTAGTCCACACCATCGTAAGGTTGGTGGTAGAGAATACCGTTGGATATAAGTCTGGCTTTTTATAAATTTGTGTATTGTAAAATAAATAACACGTTTGTAGATGTTTTTACGTTATTAATAACATTTAAAAAAAACAACTAAAACATAATAAGTTTAGTAAATTCGTATGTTAAACATACGAATTTACTAAACTTATATTTAACTTAAATAGTTTATATAATTTGACTTAAATAGTTTGAAATATAATCCTACTATCATTAAAACTCTGATGGAAAATCTTATTAAGTTAATTGAATTTACTATTCTGTTTTGTTCCAGAAATTCTAATTCGACTTGGTATATCCTTTGATAGCGTTCTTGTAACATAAAAGCGCCAGTACATATCTACTTAGACCTTACTAATTAAATTAACGAACTTTAAAAGGCATCTTACACGTATGCCTGTAGTCACACTAGAAATTCATTTCTCGTAGGCGACGTGAGCTACGAGCAGCTACGATATTCAATTAAAACTTGTGCATTAGGATCCCTGCAGCCTCTTTATTTAAATTCTCGAGCAACACTGATAAATGTCATGTGCATATAAATGAATAAAAACTTAATTGCACAGTTTTGTAGTTAGAGCCGCTACAATGCCACG